TGGGTGTGACCTTAGGCCAGTCACTGCTTCTCAGCCTAACCCACCTCACAGGGTGGGGATTAAATGAGATGAGGCAGAGTTGTGTACCCCACCTTGAGCTCATCAGAGGAGAAGGTTGGGACATATACACAATATCAACTTGTGAATTGTGTGTGGTCCTAATAGTGCTGCTTGTTTGCCCTTCTTGCTCTTAATCCAGATAACTAGGAAGTCTCTGGAAATTCCAGAAACTTCCTCGCTCTCAGCTTCATGCTAATCCACTGCTGGAGTGCACAGAATTCCTAGGAATTTTCCTGTGCTTGAGATGGTTCAGTTGTTGCCACCTTTCTCTGTCTCCCTTCCTTTGTTTACATTGTGCTTTGAAAAGGAATGAGGGTTTTGAATGTTGGGGACATGTTTGACTGAGGAAACTCTGGCAGACTCTTTCTGACACAGCCAGCCTTGCAGGAGGGAACTCGGAGTATTCAGAGTGAAAATGACAAGGCAATTGTCAGGAATTACTTTAATGGGTAGGAATTAGTTTTAAATTATTCGCATTATAAATAGCTGGTATCGTAGTTCCTGGCTCCGAAGCAAGCAAGATGGAATGATGTGTCACAGCAAGGAAAGGTTGTGATTAATAAAACGAATCTTAGTTAAACTAGCACAAAACACACACACACACAGAGAAAAGCTTGGTAAATCAATTAGATTCATCCATTTCCCTACAGATCTGCCTCTAAGTCATTCTACAGGAGTTGGCTGAGACTTGCAGAGCTTTGTGGGATGGGGGCGAGAGAAGATGCTCAAGTATTAGGCTGCATCTTTTAATTATATATTGACACCTGCTTTACAGAGGGAAATAGGGGAGTGCTGACGCTTCCTAGATTTTCTGTAGTGGGGAGGTGCCATTCTCTAGTGGAGAGGTTGTCCCATCGCCATCGTGGTTGAGATGAGCAACAGGCGAGGAAAGGGAGGAGTTGTTTAGCAGCGGAACCTTCCCCTTAGACTCACTTAGATATTTTTTAAGTAATGGGTATGCTTCCCGCTAATGAAGATTAGTAGCAATTGCTGTGAGTTCCACCAAACTGTCCTTCCCTCCCATTCCACGTGTGTGTTTTTAGCAGGGAAAAATATGCTGTAATTTTGGTAACGATGTAAAGAGCTAATTAAGGGTCTTGCTCAATCAACTAGCAGCTTAATTACCACCAAATAGTAATCGCTTGCGGAAGCGCTGCTGCCGCCACAAGCCCTGTGACATTTATGGTTCTGCACCTGAGGGCGTTGTGCAAAATGGGGAAAGGACACCCCCCCCTTTTAAAAGGCCCATCGCAACTGGGATTTCTGGAGGTGGTGGGAGGAATCTGCTGAGGATTGTGATTCCTTAAACATCCACATCTTCCCTTTCCTCTGGGGAGTGCACAGGGTGGCCTATATGGGCCTCCCACAGGGAGGTCTGCTATTCAGACACCACTCAGACTGTCTTTGCCCCCACAAGGCGCCTTCTGACCACCTCTTTGGCCATTCAAAGCAAAACAGTGAACCCCTGTAAGGGGGGGGGAGTGAGTTTTCCTTGCATATTTTCCTTGTATTCAAATATTCCTCCCTGGGCCATTGCTCACTAGCAGAAGGTCCCGGCTTCCATCCTCAGCATTTTCCAGCAGGGCTGGGTCAGGCTGCTGTCTGAAACCCTGGACTGCTGATGCCAAGAGGTGTGTAGACAATGCAGATTTAACTGGACCAGCGGCCTGACTGTGTACAATGCAACTTCCTGTCTGGCTTGTCTAACCTGACAGCACCACAGCTGTTTGTGTGTGGAGGGCTGGCACGGCATTTCCGTGGCTCAGCCTTGCCTCCCAGTTCCTGTGGCCCCAGGGAAGACTTTGTGTCTCCACCAGAGGCATCCCTGCAAGGTGAGATGGTCACCTCCAGTGGTAAATTTTGGGTGGCCGAGTAAGGGAGAGGGACTTGACCAAGGGCACAGTGTTGGGTTTTCATTTCCATGCTGCCTCAAAACAGCTGGATCGCATTCTGTGTTTTAAATGATGCGCTCTGTTCCACTCAAGCCGCCTAAAGAACCGCCTTCTGGCAGTTCCCTTGCTGCATGAAGCCAAGTTACAGAGAACCAGGCAGAGGGCCTTCTCGGTAGAGTGGTACCTCGGGTTAAGTACTTAATTCGTTCTGGAGGTCCGTTCTTAACCTGAAACTGTTCTTAACCTGAAGCACCACTTTAGCTAATGGGGCCTCCTGCTGCTGCCGTGCCGCTGGAGCACGATTTCTGTTCTCATCCTGAAGCAAAGTTCTTAACCAGAGGTACTACTGTATTTCTGGGTTAGCGGAGTCTGTAACCTTAAGCGCATGTAACCTGAAGCGTATGTAACCTGAGGTACCACTGTATTTTAATATTTTGTGGGAAGCCTCCCAGAGTGGCTGGGGAAACCCAGCCAGATGGGTGGGGTATAAATTTATTATTATTTAATTAATTAATCATTATAAAATGCCGTAGACTGGTCCTGAAGGCCACGTGACTGCTGAAGAGCTGGTCCCCAGAGTGCAGCGGCCAGCCTGCTCTTGAGGTGGGATAGCTGGAGAGGCCTGTGTCAGATCTCTCTGCATTCCTGGCATGCCTGCTGGTCCCCCTCCCTCCCTCCTCTGCCCCTCTTTCCTTTGAACGCTGCTCAGGCGCTGACTGCAATTGACCGGAGCCTCCTGCATCTCTCAGAGCTGCAGTCCATGCAGAGGCTTGTGTGTGTGCTGAGAGATGATAGACCTCTTGTTGCCCTCCCTCCTTGTTTAATGCCTGCATCTACCCATTTGCCTTCTGGACATGCTAATCCCTAGAGCATGGGTAGGCAAACTAAGGCCCGGGGGCCGGATCCGGCCCAGTCGCCTTCTAAATCTGGCCTGCGGACGGTCTGGGAATCAGCGTGTTTTTACATGAGTAGAATGTGTCCTTTTATTTAAAATGCATCTCTGGGTTATTTCTGGGCCATAGGAATTCGTTCACCCCCCCCCCCAAAATATAGTCTGGCTCCTCACAAGGTCTGAGGGACAGTGGACCGGCCCCCTGCTGAAAATGAACTCAGAAGGTGCCTGACTCTTTGAGCGGGAGGGAAGTGAGTGCATTCAGTGGACCAGCAATGTCCAGAAGTCCAGTTTGGCACAGACCCATTCTGAGCTTGGCTTTTCCGAGGTCTCTCTCTGGTGTCCTGATGGCAAAAGCTCTGGGGCAGAATATTTCAGCGCCTCTTGAGTGAAGCTGGCAGCCAGACTCTGGCAGTGGCTGATAGTTCTCAGATATGACTAATAGAGAGTCACTCTCCTGGCAGCAGATGTGAGGGATTTCATAGGTCACTTTGCACACTCTTATCTGGTTACAGGGGAATGAGTTTCCGCTGGTAAGAGAGGAGGCCCACTGGGAATGCTTCTGAGGCCAGTGGGCTTGAATGGGCAGAGCCTGCTGAACCCTGAAGCTCACAGGGAGCCGGGTGCAAATCACTATTTCAGTTCAAACTATATTTGAGGATATATCAGACGTGTTCTGGCCTGTGGGAAGCAATAATTTCTTCTAGAGCTCTGATCTTACATCAGAAGAGCCCGCTGGATCAGACCAATGGCCCATCTAGTCCGTTATCCTGTTCTCACAATGGCTGACAAAATGCTCATGGGAAGCCCAAAAGCAGAACCCGAACACAAGAGCCCTTTCCCTTCCTGTGGTTTCCAGCAACTGCTGTTTGGAAGCTCGAACTGTGGAAGCAGAGCATAGTCATCATGGCAAATAGCTATCAATAGCCCTCCTCATCATTTGTCTCAATCTTTTAGAGCCGTCTAGGTTGGTGCCCAGGGACACGGGTGGTGCTGTGGGTTAAACCACAAAGCCTTGGATTTGCCGATCAGAAGGTCGGCGGTTTGAATCCCTGTGACGGGGTGAGCTCCCGTTGCTCGGTCCCTGCTCCTGCCAACCTAGCAGTTTGAAAGCATGTCAAAGTGCAAGTAGATAAATAGGTACTGCTCTGGCGGGAAGGTAAACAGCGTTTCTGTGCGCTGCTCTGGTTCGCCAGAAGCGGCTTAGTCATGCTGGCCACATGACCCGGAAGCTGTACGCCGGCTCCCTCGGCCAATAAAGCGAGATGAGCGCCGCAACCCCAGAGTCGGCCACGACTGGACCTAATGGTCAGGGGTCCCTTTACCTTTACTTTTAGGTTGGCGCCCATCACTGTCTCCTGTGCAAGCAAGTTCCATAGTTTAACAATCTTCAGCTGGTGTGTTTGGACCCCCTAGTGGGTCAGGTGGGTCGCAACAGGAGCACCAGCACCATTCAAAGGTGGAGCCCTGGGTTTGAAAAGGTTGAAGACTACTGGTCTAGAGAGGTGGTAGGGAAGGTCTTGTAAGCAGGATGGGAATGAGTAGTGAGGTGAGGTGAGAATATTCTCTGCTAGAAAATTCTCCAGAGAATATTCTCTACAAACTGTAAATTCTAATGTAAGAACCAGTTTTACAAGCCACATTAAAAAAATCTAGTAAATAATAAGTCAAGCTGTGATATTGCCAGTGTAAGTAATGAAAAATGATTTTTTTTTTTAAATCCAGTTACATTACTGGGCATTGTGTTATTCACCATTGGCAGTTGGCAACATAATTAGAATTCACAGTTGATAGTAAGTATATGGGTTAGTGGCAGGCTTAGTGATTAACATGAGACATTCACGTTGAATTTTCAATTTTAAGTTTGGTGCAAAAAAAAAAAGTGAATTCACTGCATTGCCCCATTGAATAGAAGTATCTGTATAGTTTTTGGTTGCCATCTGAACAAGTTTACCCATGAATAAACATGTATATTAACTAATTATACCATTTTCAGTGCATTAAAATTATATTTAAAATGAATATTCTCCTATTTTAAATGAAAATTCTCTAATATTCTCATTAATCGAGAATATTCTTGAGAATATTCTCCAAAAGATTATTCTCGAGATTTTAACATCACGGGTAACGAGGTCTCCCTTTTTTACATCCTGCAGATATGACTTAAACAAACCTGAGGGCAAGTGGACCAGTAAGGCATTGTGGATTCACTGTCATCGTCGGCTATCCCACCTCAAGAGCAGGCAGGCTAGTTGCCCAGGTTCGTAAGGCCCACAGTTGCAGAAATTGCAGCTCTGGACAGGACTTGCTTTTGACCCCCTCTTTCACACACACACACACACCCACCATAACATAGCATGACAAATACCAGGGGTGGCTCTCCAGGTGGTGCTGGACTCCCAGTAGCCCCCAACCACCACAGCCAGTGGCTCCGGAGCTAATGAGATTGGTAGTCCAACAATATCTGGAGAGCCACGGTTTCGCTATTCCTGCCATATGCAAACAGTTGTGTGGGTGAGGGGAGCCAAGATAACGCCTTTAAACCCTTTTAATTTCTACTTTCCTGTCGGGGGTGGCTCTGACGGGTTGTGATGTTCTTTATTAATGAGCACTTTGGAATCCTTTGGTGTCAAGTATATCTTTGTAGAATTGGGTAGGAAATCGCTTGAGGAATGTGAGGAAGCCCAGGCCTGCGAAGCTTCAGCCTCTGCTCGTTAATGTCACAGGGAAGCCTTTATCTCTGACTCCCCCCCTGCACGATGTGACGGCTTTCCCATCACAAATATTTCTGTTTGGCTGATTAAAAACAGATGTGCGATGTGTGGTGGACGCCTGGGAGAAGCTGGAGAAGCGTAATGATACCATTCTGTGAAAAGATCAGTGAGAGGACTTCTGTCAAGGGGTCTTAGGGGAGTGACAAAGTATTTGGAAAGTTGGGGAGCAGCGTTGGCTGCATCCCTTGGATGCCTTCAGAGGTGGAGTCGTAATTCCTCCTTCGGGCCTTGGATGCACTCCACCGAGCCCTGTCAAACGAGTGGCAGGTTTTCAGAAAAGGTGATAAATGTTTTGAGTTTTGGGGTAGAAACAGTGGTTCACATGAAGCTCTTGTGTGCGTAATAGGTAAAGGTAAAGGGACCCCTGACCATTAGGTCCAGTCGTAGCCGACTCTGGGGTTGCGGCGCTCATCTCGCTTTATTGGCCGAGGGAGCCGGGGTACAGCTTCCGGGTCATGTGGCCAGCATGACTAAGACGCTTCTGGCGAACCAGAGCAGCACACGGAAAGCCGTTTACCTTCCCGCCAGAGCGGTACCTATTTATCTACTTGCACTTTTATGTGCTTCGAACTGCTAGGTTGGCAGGAGCTGGGACTAAGCAACGGGAGCTCACCCCGTCGTGGGTATTCGAACCGCCAACCTTCTGATTGGCAAGCCCTAGGCTCTGTGGTTTAACCCACAGCGCCACCCATGTGCATAATAATAATAATAATAATAATAATAATAATAATAATAATTCTGTGCTTTGATCCTGCCATAGTTCATTTCTGGGTTCACCATCTATGGTTGACTCGAAATAAGCTGCTTTGCAGAGAAGCTGTGTGAAGGCCACATATATGGTGCTTCCCCTTCCCCCTTATCGTCTCCCCCCGCCCCCCCCCCGATCATCTCAAACCAGGGGTATGTTCTGAAGCATCACCGCAAAGCTCCTCATGTGCCCTGAGATCTGGGCTGCAGCTAATCACGGCTTCCTCTCTCTTTCACATCTTGGCTTTTATGTGTGAATTCATTATGCAAGGTTTCTTTCTTTGTTTTTTAAGTCTGTGTCGATTTATTTCATAGGAAATCCTGAGATTTTTCAAAGGAACAGGCTTGCAGATGGCTGGCGCTTTTCCATTTTTAAGTGGTTAATTTCAAATCTCTTTCATTTTTATTAGAAATGCGCTGCTTTCCCCAGTCTTACCTGATCTGGCACCAGATGTCTGTTTGCCATGTTTATGAAAGACACATTTAGTTTGGATATATTTCCTTTTTCATCACAATGTTTTCCAGTTTGGGTCAGTGTTAGAAACTCAGATATATAAGTTGGAGCCAAATGGCTCTGTAAACCAAGGTTACAGTCGCCAAAATGGAATGTCTAGTTGCCATTTTGGGGCAAGACAGCTCTCAAGGCTTATTTTTCAAATGATGGGCTGACTGTGATTAATTATCAGTAAAACATCTGTCTAGTTCAGATGACAACCTTGAGCTAGGTTAAGGGCTTTGAGAACTGAAAGAAGAAAAGTCCCTTGATCCAGGGACAGTGGTACCTCGGTTTAAGAACAGTCCGGTTTAAGAACGATTTGGTTTACAAACTCCGCAAAACCAGAAATAGTGGTTTGAGAACTTTACCTCGGTCTAAGAACGGAATCTGAACGGTGGAAGGGCACCGGCGACAGGAGGCCTCATTAGGGAAAGCGTGCCTCGGTTTAAGAATGGTTTTGGTTTAAGAACGGACTTCCAGGACGGATTAAGTTCGTAAACCGAGGTACCACTGTATTGGCTTATTCTGACTTCTTTTTCTTAATGGTGACATGGACCATTCATAACGCAAGAATATTCTTCACAACTGTGAGCAGGGCAGTGGGGTGGGGTAAGGGAAGGCAAGCAATAACAATTAACTATAGCGTCGTTCACTGCTCCTGCTCAGGCTGCACAGAGAATGGATTTTTGGTTCCTGAAATTGATTCTGATTGTGCAGATAAAATATAACAGATAAATAATGCTGTGGCATTAGTGTGTGAAAACAGTCAAGATCCAAGGATCTCCAGGCAGGCACCTCCAGGTGGTGGAGATGTCAGTGCCATCCTGGCATCCAGGCACCTTCATTTGGTCGCAAGTGACTGATAACCAGGTGCAAAATGCGCCCGGTGTCTGGCTATTTTCGAACACTGGTTTGGGTTTGAGCAGGCTCCGCGAAGACCCACCTAGGCAGGCTGCTGCCGTTTCTGAATTGCTTTCAGGCAGATCTTTCAGTTTATCTGCTCAAGCAGCGAGAGGAGGCCAGCTAAATAGAGAGCTCTTGCACAGCAAAGCTGGTAGGGGAACAGCTGGAGTGACTAAATTAAGCTTAGGAGGCCGGCAAACAACCTGCAGGGGGAAAAGCCTGTTTTCTGAACATTCCTCCCTCCATCCCTGCCAGTGATCTTTCTGTGTCCTGAAATGCTTTCGCTGCATGACCCAACTCGACAGGGTTGAATGGTTTCTGCTGTTCGTTTTTAACTGTTTCATTTAGGTTTAATATTTGTATTTAGCTTTTCCAAAATACCAGGTTCAGCTTGAAGTGGCTCGTAATAGCATTCAAAATGAGCAAACATCACTATCGCTAGGCCGAAGACGCAATAGCCTACAAATAAGGCAAAAGGAAACAAGCTCATGAGATAGTTAATACAATCTCATAGAGATGCAGAAATGGCTGCTGGGCACCAGCCCTGTACCAGTTAAAGGGGCTTCTATACCCACTAGGTAAAGGGACCCCTGAAAACATTAGGTCCAGTCGTGGCCGACTCTGGGGTTGCGGCGCTCATCTCGCTTTATTGGCCGAGGGAGCCGGCGTACAGCTTCTGGGTCATGTGGCCAGCAGGACTAAGCCGCTTCTGGCGAACCAGAGCAGCGCACAGAAACGCCGTTTGTCTTCCCGCCGGAGTGGTGCCTATTTATCTACTTGCACTTTGACGTGCTTTTGAACTGCTAGGTGGGCAGGAGCAGGGACCGAGCAACGGGAGCTCACCCCGTCGCGGGGATTCGAACCGCCGACCTTCCGATCGGCAAGTCCTAGGCTCTGTGGTTTAACCCACAGCACCACCCGCGTCACTACATGAGCACAATTGCAGGCAGTAGTCACTGAAAATGCAAAGGTCGCCATTTCACGCCCCTCCCACAAGGAAGGTAGTACTTGGTTTCTATCTCATTTCTGCCGGTGGAGACCCTTAGGGACTTGGTATCACTCTGAGAACAGAATCTTTCTCTGGAGGTTGGGAGGGAGAAAGAAAGAACCCACAACCTCTGTGTTGTCCAGTGAAAGGATAGATTTCGCGCGCACCCCCAACACAATTAGTGCTTAGTGGTATGGTCTGCTGCCAGACTGCATTAAAATCATCATTACAGCAAATTCCTCTTGGAAGCCATCGAGAGACTAAGATTGATTATACGTAAATGAAAAGGGACTTTGATTTCATTTGTGATTGCTTTATCGCTTAGAAAAATCTTATGTTGCCGTTGGGAGTTTTGTCCAGGTTGGCATGACCTTGTAGGAGGTCAATTGTCACTCTGTTGTTTTTTTCTAAAAAACAACAACTTGGAAGCTGACCTTGGCTTGTCCTTGAACAGAACCTGCTTCAGAGGCAAAGTCCAGTTTCTTGTTGGCAAAAAGTGCTTTGGTTTTGAAGTCCTTTCTCTGTGCCTCTCTCAGAGGAATGGCTAACACCGGCGCTTCGTGATAACATGCCCCTCATTTGACTGGAGGAATACACTTTTGTGGCTTGACGCATCTTTCGGCTACTTGCTTCTCTGACTGGTGCTAACAGCTCCTAATTGTTTTGGGTTTAATTAGAACCGTCTTCAGTGAGAACATTCTAATTAAGCCCAATGTATAAAGAGACCTAAGGGTGGAAGCCCTTTTAAAACATAAGAGGCCTTCCGGAATGACCTTCCTTGGTACTGTGTAAGCTTCCAAATGCCTGTGCAGTGAGCTCAAATGAGCCCAAAGCGAAATCCTTCCTCCTTGCCCTTTCTGCCATCGCTAAGGGCCCCTGCGCCTTTTTCTGTGATTCTTGTGCAGTAGGGAATTAGCTACTGCACAACTTGGAAGAGAGCTGGAGCAATCCTTGGGGTCAAATCGGTTGCTTCTTGATTCGTGGCAAGAACACAAAGCTCATTATCGTGCGCCATCCCAGTGCATGAGAGCAGGGGTCCCAGGCACTTGCCCAGGGCTCATGTTTCCTTTTGGAAATGAGGTACAGCAGGGACTGTGGTGTCTTTACCTGGACCTGCGATGGAGGGGTTCAGAGCATTAACACACCAAGGGGGGAGCCTTGCTTCTCCCATCTTGCGGCCTTGGATTCAAGCAGAAATCAAAGCTTGCTCTCAAACGTTGCTCTGACTCTCTGTCTAGCTTGCTGCTTTACTTCTAGGTCATATCACTGCAAAACTCTCTACTCCAAACTCTGGCTTGGTCGGTTAAGGGAGGGGCCCCTGTCCATTTGCCATCTCACATTGAGCCCCTTAA